TTCAAAATAAATATAAACATTTACTTATTTATTTTTGCTACTGTAAATGAATCGTTTTATATTTGCTTTTTTGTTTACATATTTGATAGCTGTTGATATTTATGTCTTGATTTTATATCCTACTACATTATTAAATTCTCTTACTGTTTGTAATAGTCTTTACAATGTCTCTTTTGGGTTTTTCAGATAAGCATTCATATCATTTGTAAATACAGACAGTTTTCCCTTTTACTATCCAATTTGTATGACCTTAAGTACTTTCTCTTGTCTAACCATGTTTAGCATCACCTCAATACAGTGGTTAATAGGAGTAGAGATATTGAATGCTTTTGTCACAACTCTGGAAAGAGGAAAGCCCTAAGGTTTCACCATTTAGATAGTTGCTAGATTTTGACCTGAGGTATATCACGGTAAGGAAATATCCATAGTTTTTTATTTTATTGTTTCTAACGTGAATGTGTGTTAAAATTTTCAAATGCTTCTTTTTCATCCATGAATGTGTTTTTATGACTTTTCTTCTTAGGTCTGTTATTATAATCCTATACTAATAAAAGGCTAATGTGCAAATTGACCAAACCGTGGAACAGCTGCTCACTATAACACGCACTGACCACAAGGGGGCAGCTCAAGCGCTGATGATGTCTGTCAGTCAGACATCCCCCGAGGGCTCCCGGACTGTGAGAGAGTGCAGGCTGGGCTGAAGGACCGGCCCTCCCGGCCCGAGTGTACGAATTTCGTGCACCTGGCCTGTAGTCTGTGTGTGTGTGTGTGTGTGTGTGTGTGTGTGTGTGTGTGTGTCTAATATGTTAAGTGTCTGCCCGACTGTTAACTATGATGCGCACTGACCACCAAGGGCAGAAGCTCAACGCAGGAGCTGCCGAGCTGCAGTAACTTGGCAGCGGCGATTTTCAGGTGACGCATCTCGAAAACAGGAGGGAGCCTGATTCCTCGCTGGACCGCACAATTCCACCTTCAGCCGTGGGTTATGTTGTTGCTGGGGTACTGTCAGCCACGAATCTGGCTTACTACACACTTGTGTTTGCATTCCACACCCTATACGACACCAACTTTGCAGAGTGCCCTCTCATACTCGGGACCCCTCAGGGGATGTTAGAGAGTCAGTTTCAGCTCAATCCCCGCAGGCCAGGCCGAGGGACCCCGCTCACTCCGCAGATGCTCTTCGAGCCTTGAGCCACCCCCAGCTGTAGCCAGCCAGGGAGGGACCATGGGAGGTTGGCTCCAGGGCGTGTCCGGCCCGTCTTGCCCAGTCCTCCCCCACCAGCCACCTTCTAATTAACTACAGGTCCGGTGCATGAAATTAGTGCATAGTGAGGGGTCCCTCAGCCCGGCCTGCACCCTCTCCAATCTGGGACCCCTCAGGGGATATCCAACTACTGGCAGTCAGACTTCCCACTTGCAATCTGGGACCGCTGGCCCCTAACCACTCGCCTGCCTGCCTGATCGCCCCTAACCCCTCTATCTGCCTGCCTGATTGCCCTTAACCCCTCTGCCTGATTGCCCCAACCCCTCTGCCTGCCTGCTTGATCGCCCCTAACTGCCTCTGCCTGCTGGCCTGATCGCCCCTATCTTGCACCCCTGCCAGCCTGATTGACCCTAACTTGCTCCCCTGCCGGCCTGATTGCCCCTAACCGACTCTGCCTCGGTCCCCGGCCTAAGCCACAGTCTGGCCTCCCTTTGCATCAGGCGACCTGGCGGATCAGGGGAAGGTACCGCTCCCATTACCCTGCTGCTCCTGCCACTGCTGGCTTGAGCCTGGGCCCTTCGGAGCCATCCGCGGCTGCCTGAATCTCGGCCCTCACAGCCTATGCGGCTTTGTCCGGAAGGACGTCCAGAAGGTCGTTTGGAAGATGTCTGCCTTAATTAGCATATTGCCATTTTATTAGTATAGATTTCCTTTCAATGTGCACGAATCTGTGTACCAGGTCACTAGTAAAATCCATGTGCATATTTATAATATTTATAACACTAGAAGCCCAGTACACGAAATTTGTGCATGGCGGGGAGGGGGCGGGGTTCCCTTAGCCTGGCCTGCACCCTCTCCAATCTGGGATCCCTTGCAATGCAGAACCACTGGCGCCTAAGTGCTCACCTGCCTGATGTCCCTAACTGCTCTCCTCTCCTGGCCTGATCCCCCTAACTGCCTAACTGCTGTGACCTGCTGGCCTGATCTCCCTAACTGCTCTCTCCTCCTGGCCTGATCCCCCTAACTGCCTAACTGCTGTGACCTGCTGGCCTGATCTCCCTAACTGCTCTCTCCTCCTGGCCTGATCC